ACTTTTGAGTCATGATCTGCTTTCCTCTCCCATCCCCAGCTTCATGTTACAGAAACTCCAGTGTAGGTACTCTATTCCAAGCAAGTGTAGCCAAGATGAGGACTCCCTCTCCTCACAGTTCTCAGTTTAGGGCTACGGTCTCACCTTTAAAAGGGCAGGTTACCAGTATATCTCATTCCTCCAACTTCATTTCTCTGTTGAAGAATCTCTATTCTAGAGATGACCAAGAGAACTGAGGTCTCATTCTTCTAAGTCACTACTAATAGGGTAGAAACTCTACACCAAGTGTAGCCATCAAGAATACTGGGACCCTGATCACTCCTGTCTCTGCTCACTTATAGGCAATGATCCTATACTGAAAGCTGCAATCCAAAAAGACCAGGAGCTATCACCCTCTCTTCCTAGTATCCAGTAAAGATGTCACTCTGGGTGACATTGAGTGGTACTGCTATCACACAGAAGTTATCCCAGGGGAAGAGGCAAGCTATAAGAATGAAGAGCTCCACAGATATAACTGAGGTTAGTGATTTGACTTGGAGCAGCCATGCCTAAAGGCGTTGCTGAAAACAATGGAGCACAATTAATGGGGTGCTGGTAGCTTCATAATACTGCTACTAATGAGCTGCACACAGATCCATAAACAATGTGCAGAGGCCTCACTGACTCCAAGGGCTTAGGTACAACCCCTGAGCAAACATTCCCTGAAAAACAAGCTGTTCTGACCTCAGAGAAAATACTGCTGAGCCATACTTAAAAATAAAATCACATGCATCCTTGCAATCTGAAAGACTGTATATACCCAAGACCACACCCTCTCATAAGTGATTAGAAAGGGAACTTCCAAGATATTAGGCCTTGGTTGAAGTTGGGGAAAAAATTAACTCCCTAATTATAATAACAGATCCAAGCTACAAACATCCAATGGCAAAGAGTAAAAATATAACTGTTGAAGGAGACTTAAGCACAATCTTTGACCAATAAGTGACTTATATGGACCCAGGGTTGACTCCTAGGGAATCAAGCTAAAATGAAGAATAAAAGAAATAAAAAACAATATGGAAAGGGATATCAGAAGTTGCAAACTATAAGAAAACAGACTTCACTGAGTTACTATAGCCAAGTCATTAAACAAATGAACAACCAAATAAATATAGGGGGTAGAGGGAAGAAGAATTAGTATCTAGAGTTGTTATAATATATTATCTAAAATATTCAGTTTTTATTTTTTAAAATATAAGACACAAAAAGAAACAATAGTGTGACCTATATAAAAAGAAAAAAAGTAGGCTCTAGAATATGCCTTTAAGAGACATAGCAAAAAAAGATTTTAAAGAAACTATTATAAAAATATTCAGGCTGGGCATGGTGGCTCATTCCTGTAATACCACCATTTTGGTAGGCCAAGGTGGAAGAACTGTTTGAGCCCAGGAATTCAAGACCAGCCTGGGCAACACTGTGAAACTTCATCTTTACCAAAAAAAAAAAAAAAGACACACACAAAAAATTAACCAGGCATGGTTGTGTGAGGCTGTAGTCTCAGCTACTCAAGAGGCTGAGGCAGAAGGATTGCTTGAGGAGGTTGTGGCTGTGATCATACCACTGCACTCCAGCCTGGGTGACAGAGTGAGATCCTGAATCAAAAAAGAAAACAAAAGGTAAAGAAACAAAGGAAACTATACTTAAAGAATTATAGGAAGGTATGATGCCAATGTCTCATCTAATAAGGAATATCAATAAAGAGCTAGAAATTATTTTAAAGACCAAATAGAAACACTGGAGTTGAAAATATAATAGCTGGAAAAAAAAATTCAGTTTGAAGCTCAATAGTAGATTTGAGCTAACAGAAGAAAGTATCAATGAACTTGATGATAAACTTATAGAGGTTATGCAATCTAAAGAACAGAGAAAAAAAGAGTAAAGAAAGACCAGATTCTCAGAGAAATATGATACATCATTATCACCAACATACACAAGGTTGAAAGGGGAAGAAAAAATACTTGTAGAAATTTGGAAGGGGAAGAAAAAATACTTGTAGAAATAATAGCTGAAAACTTCCCAAATTTGGTGAAAAACATCAGTCTACCCACACAAGAAGCTCAACCTCCAAATAAAATTAAAAATATCCATACCTAGAGACATCAGAGTCAAAATGTTGGAAAACAAAAATAAAGAGAAAATCCTGAAATCATTAAAGGCAAAATGACTCATCTCAGACAAGGGGATCCTAGAAATATTAACAGCTGATATCTCATAAGAAACAATGAATTCCAGAAAGCAAATGGGATGACATATTCAAAATGCTTAATTTAAAAAAAAAAATCTGTCAACCAAGAATATTATACTCAGTAAAATTATATTTTAAAACAGAAGATTAAATAAAGAGATAACAATAAATGAAGGCTTAGAGAATTTGCTGCTAGTAGACCTGTTCAAAAAAAAAAAAATGAAAAAAGAAAAAGCTAAAGAAAGGTTATCTGGCTGAAAGCAAGTGATAACAAACAGTACTTTGGACTTGTAGCCTTACCAAAAAATTTTTTTTAAAAGAAATAATATAAATAACCATATGCCAACAAATTACATAACTTAAATAAAATGGATAAATTTCCAGAAAGACACAAACTACTAAAACTGGCTCAAGAAGAAATAAAAAATCTGAATAGACAAGTAAAGGAATTTAATTAATAATTTGAAATCTTTCCATAAATAAAAGATGAGGACCAGATGACTTCAATGATGAATTCTACCAAAAATTTAAAGAATTAATATCAATCATTTACAAACTCTTTCAAAGAATAGATGATGAGGTAAGACTTTCCAACTGACTCTATGAGGCCAGTCTCACTCTGAAACCAAAACAAAGACATCACAAGAAAATGAAACTACAAACCAATATCCCTATGAATACAGACGCAAAACTACTCAGCAAAATATGAGCAAACTGAATTCAGCATCATATAAAAAAAGATTATACATCATAGCCAAGTAGGATTTATTCCAGGAATAGAAGGTTTATTTAAAATTTGCAAATCAATTAATGTACTATCCCAGTTAAAGGGGAAAGAATGGCCTTTTAAACAAATGATGCTGAGACAACTGAATGGCCACATTTAAAAGAATAAAGTTGGAGGTTTATCTCACACCATATGTTAACTAAATTAACTAAAGGTAACTAATGTTAAATAAATCAACTCTCAGGTCTAAATGTAAGAGCTGAAACAATAAAACTCTTAGAAGAAAATATAGAAGTAAATATATATAACCTTGATTTAGGCAATGGTTTCTTAGATATGATACCAAAAGCACAGGCAACAAAAATAAAATAGATAAATTGGGCTAGACCAAAATGGAAGATTTCTGTAGCAAATCTTACCATCAATAAAGTAACAAGATAATCCTCAGAATTGGAGAAAACATAGTAAATCATATGTCTGAAAAGAGACTTGTATCCAGAATACATAGTTTTTACACCTCAATATAAAAAACAAATAGTTCAATTTAAAACTGAACAAAAAATTTACATATACATTTCTCCAAAGAACATAAACAAATGGACACTAAGAATATGAAGGATGTTCAATATCACTTATCACTAGGGAAATGCAAATCAAAACCACAATGAGAACACTCCATACCTACCAGGATAGTTATAATCATGAAGACAGATAATCACAGGTGTTGGCAAATGTATGGAAAAATTATAATATATTGTTAGTGGGAATGCAAAATAGTATAACCACTTCAGAAAATATTTTGGCAGTACCTCAAAAAAGTTACACATAAAGTTACCATATGACCCAGTAACTCTACTTCTTAGTACATATCCAAGAGAAATAAAAACAAATGTCCATACAAAAAACTTGTCCATGAATGTTTACAGCAGCATTATCTATAATAACTAAAAGGTGGAAACAATCTTAATGTTCATCAACTGATGAATGGATAAATAAAATCTGGTACCTCCATAAAATGGAAAATTAGCAACAAAAAGAATAAATACTGATATATGTCCCAACATAGATAAAAGCATTATGCTACATCAAAGAAGTCAGTCACAAAAGACCATATAGTGTATTATTCCATTCATGTAAAATGTCCAGAATAGGCAAACCCATAAAGAGAGAAAGCAGTTTAGTAGATGCTTATGGGTGGGGAGATATGGGAATTACGGAGTGATGGCTAATGGTCACAGAATTTCTTTTAGGGGTGATGAAAATGTTCTACCATTAGATTGTGATGGCCGTTGTACAACTCTGTGAATATACTAAAAACCACCGACTTGTACATTTTAAATGTGTGGATTTTACAGTGTGTGAATTGTATCTCAATAAATAGTTTTTAATTAACAATATACTTCTGATTGGATCTTTCTAGGCATTAGAGAAAGTCAAAAGAATAGAAACTAGTTCATCTGCCACAGAAAAATAGTCTGTGAATACATTCAAGACTAACTGATAGCTCATTGTTGACTAGTTACATATCCCTGATCTAGGCATTTACTGCATATTGTCCGATAAAGCTGAGCCAGGGTGCTCATAAGTAAAGACAGAACTTAACCCTGGATAATTGCTTGTGTTAGAGGCCTCAGGTTCTGTGAAAATAACTAAATCAATGCTGACTGCAGGGTTCTGTTCCCTATTTCATTAACTTTAAGAAACTCTTCACATTGATGCCACATGAAAGAAAGCATAATTTTTGTATACTGTTTGCATATATTTCAGGTCTCTACAGAAAGATACCAAAGCTTTCCTGGGTGATAGAGTTGATAAGTATCATGAACCAGTAGCTACAGATGCTCAGTTTTAAAAAATAACCCTTTACCATCAGTTTTCTTTCAAAAAAGAAATCGAAGAAATGGGAAGAAAGAAGAAAAAGAGAAAAAAAGTAGAGAACAGAATGGGAGATCATCCACATTATAATATTAGTCATGCGTATCAGGATCAATGATGCCATATGACATTAGTTTTATAGAATACACATCAAACTGAAAAGACAAACAATACCTTCTGGAGGAGTCCCAATGCTTCCACCAAGACCCAAAATAGCCATCTTGTGAATTCTTGGCTCCAGCATCACAGCAGATTCTTCTCCCCTTTCCCAGTGGGGGATTTTGACTGGCTCCAGGTGGACATTATCCAGCCCATTTTCCTGCAGGTTTTGGTACATAATTTGGATGGCTTTTTCTAGGTTCTTGGAACCACTCAGTCTAGGCCCAACGGTATCAACCAGAAGTGCCAGCCGCTCATAGGATCGGTTCTGGGCTTTACCATAAACGGCAAGGTCGATGATTGCTTTAGCAACATTTCCATAGTTGGCTATTTCTTCTTTTATTTCTTGAAAAGTCCTCTGAGAGATGCCATCTTTGTATATAGCTTTCCCAGAGCCCAGGGGTAAAAGATGAACAACACCAACAAATGTGAAGATGAGGAACTTCATTATTTTTTCCAGTTGGTCTTCTTTTTAAGATAATCTATGTAGGTAAGAAACATGTTTTAGGGGAAAAGAATCTCACAGCCATCTGCCCATAACTCAGGGATTGCTTTTCAAGCAGTATTCCCCTTTCCTTCCCAACAGTTGCCCAACCTCCACCATCAAATTCAAGTACCATAACTCCCAGGAATGGACAAGCAAAGAGATCTTTTTATTTTTTAAGTTGGAGTTTTACTCTATCATCCAGGCTAGAGTGAGGTGGCACAGTCAGGGCTCACTGCAGCCTCCACCTCCTGTGCTCAGGTGATCCTTCTACCTAAACCTCCCAAGTAGTGAGGACTACAAGTATGCATCACCATGGCCAATTTTTTTTTCTTTTTTCTTTTCTTTTCTTTTTTTTTTTTTTTTTTTTTTTTGGAGACAAGGTTTCACTATATTGCCTAGGCTAGTTTTGAACTTCTGGGTCCAAGCAATCCTCTCACCTCAGTCTCTCAAAGTGCTAGGATTACAGACTTGAGCCACCGCGCCCCGCCACCTGACATTATTATGTAGTATTTATTAAAACCACAGAATCACATGTTAACTAAATCATCCATGATTTAGTTTAGTTTAAAATATGATAAAAGATTAAAATAAGAAGAGAACTGAGAAGGGGAGAAAGAAGTAGTGGTATCAGTGATAGGGCCAAGACAGAGTCACCTGCTGTACCACCTCCTAAACAGAGTATAATCCAAATAGGTGTCAGTGCTCCCTCCACCCGATGAGCTCTCTCCTCTGCCTATCAAACTCATCCCATGAAGCCCTCTCAGATGTCATCTTTTCTTCATACTTCCCCTAGTTCCCCCATCACTAAAAATAATTGCCTCTTAATCTGTACCTGAAGAGTACTTTATGCTTATGCCCTAAAGACATTTATTGAATGCCACTATATTCCAGGGACTGTGGTATGTTTTTAAAAGGAAGAAGTCTAAGTTACTACAAAAAGCAGAGAATGAGTAAATAGACTGAGCTTTGTCACCATTTAACTGTGTGTTATCCATCATCTAAATGATAATAATTTTTAAAAATAATAACAGGAAACCTTTATATAGTGCTTACTATGTATCAGATATTGCTCTCAGGATACTACATTCATTAACACTTTTAATTCTCACAACAACTTTAGGAGATAGTTTCTTATTATTACCTATATTTTACAAATGAGGAAACTGGGGCACAAACAGAATAAATAATTTGCCAAAGACATACAATGGTTTTCTAGATCTATCTAGAGTGCTACTGAAATTATGGTTTTTGAGCCAATACAGGCCACAAACTTTTTTTTTAACTAATCCCTACTGGGTAAATACAGAGATTAAATGTATTCAGTGTTGTCCAATGCAGTAGCCAATAGTCTTATATGGTTATTTCAATTTAAAATTATTAAAATTAAATTAATGATTCAGTTTTTCAATCACACTAGTTACATTTCCAGTACTCTAGGCACATGTGGCTAGTGGCTACCATATTGGGCAGTACAACATTTATATCACTGCAGATAGTTCTATTGGATAGCAGTGGTTTAGACATTCATAAACTGTACAGCTGTCATTTGAATGTTTGTCCCCTATAAAAAAATGTTGAGATTTAACTGCCATTGTGACAGAATTAGAAGGTGGAATCTTTCAGAGGTGTTTAGGATACAAGGGGGTCACGAGTCAACTAATGCTATCATTTGGGGAGTGAGTTCATTATCACCGAAGTGGGTTTGTGCCTCACCCTTGCTGTCTCTCGCCCTCTGTTTGCCTTCTTCCATGTGATGTCTATTGATATACAATGATGTGGCAGGACGATCCTCATCAGATGTAGTCCCTTGATCATGAACTCCCCAGACTCCAGAAAATGATCCAGTAAATTTTGCTGTTCTTTATAAATTCCCAATCTGTGGTTTAATGCTATAGTAGCACTAAACAAATTAAGACAAAAGTTAGTGCCAGAGAAGTGGGCTGTTGATGTAATAAATACCTGAAATTGTTTAAGTGGTTTTGGCACTGGGTATTGGGTAGAGGCTAGAAGAATTTGGAGAAACAGTCTAGAAAAAGCCTAGATTTCCATAAACAGAGCATTAAGGGCAATTCTAGTAAGAACAGAGAAGAAAAGAGCTGTAGGAAAAGTCTGAAACGTCTTAGGGTACCTGAGTGGCCATGGCTAGAAGGATGGTAGAGATTTGGACAGCGAAGCCTATTCTGATGGGGTCTCAGATGGAAATGAAGAACCAGGGATTGGAAACTGGAGTAAAAGCCATCCTTGTTATAAAGTGACAATAAACTTGGTGGAATTGTGTCCATGCCTGAGAGTTTTATGGAAAGCAGAATTTAAAAGCAATAAACTAGAATATCTGGTGGAAGAAATTTTTTTTTCCAGTTTTTTAGAAATTTTAGGACTGTTTGGAAAAGGTTGAGTATATAACTCTATGGTTTCTTTTTTTAATTTTCTATTATAGAGATATGGGGTACAAATGAGGATTAATTACATAAATAGGCTGCATGCAAGAGAAGCTTGGGTTTCTAGCTTGCCCTCACCTCCCCTGGTAGTAGACCAGAAACCCTTTGTATTGTCTCGTGCTCCCTACCCTTGGTGGAAGAAATTTCTAAGTAAAATATTAAAGGAGTGGTGTGGCTTCTTTTAATTGCATATAGTACAATGTAAGAGGAAAGAAATTATTTAAAGACAGAGTTTATAATTAAGGAGAAATAGAACAAAAACTTTTGGAAAATTCACAGCCCGACCACAGACGCAAGGAATAAAAAGGCATGTTTTGGAGAGCAAACCAAGGGTATGGCCAAGCACCTATTTGCTGAAGAGATTAATATGGATAGAAGGGAGCTAGGTGCTATCCATCAAGACAATGAGAGAATGACCCTGAAGGCATTTCAGAGATCTAGGCAAGCTAGAACCTTGAGGACAAAGCTTCCACAGAGGCACCTGGGGGACCTCAGAATTCACGACCCTGTGCTGCCTCAAATGTCTGCTCCTCACATTCTGGTATAACATTCATCAGCTGCTCTAGCCAAGGCTCAAAGAGGCACAGGTGCAGATAAGGCCATCACTCCTAAGGGTGTGAGCAGTAAATTTTGGCAGCATCCACATGATGCTGATTCTGCAGGAACAGAGTTCACATGCTGTGGAGGTATGGCTACATGCTCCTAGACTTCAAAGAATGTAAGTATTGGACAGCCTGGGGCTCCAGGCTGAAACCTGCTGCTAGGGCAGAGCTGCCACAGAGGGTCCCATTGTGGCAATGCCTGGTGGAGCTGCAAGGGCAGGATCACCCCTGAGACCCCAGAACTGTAGCGCTATCTGCCTACAAAGCCAGCCTGGGACAGCTGCAGACCCAAGACTCCAATCTATAATAGTGCAGTGTGGCCTGTCTCCCACAAAGCCATAGGGACAGGCCTGCCTAAAGCCTTGGGAACCTAAACTCAGTATGTCCAGGAAGCAGGACATGGAGTCAAATAAGAGTATTCCTGAGCCTTAATATTGTTGGTCCTATTGGGTTTTGGACTTATCTGTGACCATTTACTCCTTTCTTCTTACCTATTTATCCATTTTGGGATGAGACTGTCTATCCTATGCTTGTCCCACCATTGTATTGTGGATTGTTTGATGTAACATTCTTATAGCTGGAGAATTTGCCTCAGAATGAATTCTGCCTTAAGTCTCACCCGTATCTGATTTAGATTACACTCTAGACTTCGGACTTTTGAGTTGGTGCTAGGAGAACTTAAAACTTTTGGGGCTGAGATTAAATTAATGTGTTGTTATTTTCAGAGGGGGTTTTTTGAGTTGAAGTTCCACTCCTTCGTCCAGGCTGGAGTGCAGTGGCATGCTCACGGTCACCCCAGTGTCTACCTGCTGGGCTCCAGCAATCCTTCCGCCTAAGCCTTCCAAGTAGCCAGAACTAACAGCCAACTTTTTAAAGAATTTATTGTAGAGACAAGGTCTTGCCAAGTTGCCCAGGCTAGTCTTGAACCCACGAGCTCAGGCAATTCACTCGCCTCAGCCTCCCAAAGTGCTGGGATTACAGGCTGAGCCACCGAGCCCGGCCTGAATGTGTTTTGTATATGAGAAGAATATGAGAAGAGGAATGCTATGGATTTAATGACTGTCCCTCCAAAACTCATGTTGAAATTTAATTGCCATTGTAATGGTACTGGAAAGTGGGATCTTTAAGAGGTGTTTAGGTAATGAGGGATCAGCCCTCGTGAATGGACTAATGCCGTTATTAAGGGAATGGATTCATTATTGCAAGAGTAGGATCACTCTTCTCTTGCTTTGTCCCTTCTCTCCCTCGGTTGCCCTTCTGCAGTGTGATACCTTCTAACACACTATAGTGCAGCTAAAAGACCCTCACCAGATGTGGTCCCTCTTGGAGTCCCAGCCTCCAGAACTATAAGCCAATAAATTCTGTTTATTACAAATTACCCAGTCTATGGTATTTTGTTACAGCAGGGAAAAAAAAAAAAAAAGACTAAGACAACATCTCTTAAATTTAATGACTAAAAAGTCGTGTTTATCTTTGAATGTCTTTATTTCATTTTTCTAATTCACTTTATTTTACAAAATTATTAGTCTATAGTAAATTCAAAATTTAAAAAACTAGTCCCTCACCACAGATAATTTAAGAAGCACAACTGTAAACTACTAAATTATAAGAATAAATTCTAAATTCAGCCAGCATACAAGGTTTTTCAAAATATGACTCTAACAACTACTTCAACCTCATTTATTCTCCTCCCCCTCTAGAGCATGTTTTCATTTTCATTCTCTTTCTCTTTCTCTCTCTCTCTCTCTCTCTGACACACACATACATTCCTAAGCTACTAGATATTGAATGCTTGAAATATGGTTAGTCCAAACTGAAATGTTCTGTAATTGTATATACCTGATTTTGTTTTAAGGATGTAAGTAGGAAAAAAAATCAACTTAAATATTTCAGGTATATTGGGTTAAATAAAATATGTAATTATTAATTTTACCTGTTTCTTTTTACTTTTTAAT